AGCTCAGTTCCAGTTACTTTTTGGGGAGAACGTGTCACGACTGCAGTGTATCTACTCAATAGATTGCCTACAACAATTCTAGATAGAAATACGCCTTATGAGCTACTATATGGAGAAGCACCTAAATTGGACCATCTAAAGGTATTTGGATGCTTGAGCTATGCTAATAATATGCCCAGGTGTGATAAATTAGGTTCAAAAGTAAGGAGAGCAATCATGTTGGGATATTCTGATACTTAGAAGGGCTATAAACTCTTTGTTATTGACACAAAGACCTTTTTCATGAGTAGAGATGTCAGCTTCAGGTAGAATATTCCTCCCTTTAAAAACTGGTAAGGAAAATGATGATGATCTGCTATTTGTTCCCGTAACAAATGTTGCAGGAGAAAACTTGCAGCCTGAAGTCATAGATGTCATAAAGTCCTCAATAGAAGCACACAATTCTGATCATATTAACACAGAGTCTGAACCTATAGCCCCTATGAAACCCTCAAAAGTTGCAGAAGACAGAGATGATACAATTGAAGTTCTAGAAGCCAGTTGACAGTATTTTGCGACTTAGATTGGGTAGCTTTCCCAAACATTAGAAGGTCAGTGACAGGATATGCAGTAAGATAGGAAGCTCCTTGATTTCCTGAAAGTCGAAGAAACAACAGACAGTAAGCAGAAGCTGAGCACGGAAGCATAGGAGCAGCAATATCAGAAGTGATTTGGCTAGAAGGCCTGCTAGCAGAATTAGGGATGCCAGTTTCAAGAATTATAAAGCTCTTTTGCAATTGCAAAGCTGCAATTCAAATTGCTTCTAATCTTATTTACCATGAAAGACCAAAACATATCGAAATAGATTGTCACTTTATAAGAGAGATGATCAAAGAGGGGTTGATACAAGTACAACATGTGAGCACAAAAGATCAACTAGCAGATATACTAACAAAAGGCCTAGGAACAGTGCAACACAATGCTTATTATCCAAGATTGGAGTATTCAATGTATTTTACCCTCCAGCTTGAGGGGAAGTATTAAAAATATATTTAGTTAGTTAGTTGAGAAGCAGTTAGAATACAATGCAAAAGACACATGACTATCAGGTGTCTAGTAAAAAGACACACGGTATAAAAGGGAGTTCTTCTTCCATTTGAATAACAGAAAAACATTTCACAAAATATCTCTCTAGAATATTCCATCTAAAGGTATTAATCGGGCGGGCTGGGACGGGCTGGACAAAAAAAACGTCAGCCCGTACGGGTTCGGGGCGAGTTGTTATCGGGCTGGGGTTAACGGGTTGGTGGCGGGCTGGGATTTTTCGGGTTCTATAGGGCCCGTACGGGTGCGGGTTTAACGGGCTCGGGCGGGTCGGGCTATATATAATTTTTTTTTTAAATTAAGTTTATATTTTTCTTTTCAATGTTATTGAACTTTTAGGTAAATTAAGATTAGAATTGAACTTTAAGGGTTAGAATTAAAGAACAAATAAAAATTCTAAATTTGAAAATAGAAAGTAAGTGTCTATATAAAAAATATTGAATAAGACTAATATGCAATATAAAAAAATCACAATATTTAAGTAACTTTGATATTTTTATTGAATAATATAATACTTCAAATTAATTTGCAAGTTCTTTTTTGATTTTTTAAATTTTTGAACTTGCAAATTAAAAGTTTACAACAATTGTTAAAGAAGAAATAGTAAATCATATGTTTTGCATCATCTTTGAAAGCTCTTCCATGTCAATGTGAGGTTCTTGGTTTCCGGTTTTATAATCGGTACCATAAACCATTATATCTCCAATTTCTTGGTCTTCCTCTTCATCTACCTCGTCACGCCCTTGATTTCGCCGTTCTGATCTAATCCAATCTGTGAAGCACACTAGAACTTCCAAAGCGTTGCTGCCCAATGAATGACGGGTATCTCCTAGCTGCTGTCTTGCTTGGCTAAATGCGCTCTCTGATGCGACTGTTGAAATAGGCACATTTAGAACGTCTCGAGCCATGGCCGAAAGAACAGGAAACTGATTTGAGTTGCTCCTCCACAACTCAGAGGTAGAAAATCCTTTGTGAGGGGCTCCGGTGACTTTTGCAAGTGAAATTGGAGTTCATCAATATTCCGGCTACTGGTTTGTTGATGCTCTCCTAGTGTAGACCAAATCAAATAATCTTGAACATTATCATCATCTTCCAAATTTGTTCCAGTATGTTGAAGTATTAGTTGAAGGAATATTTGCATCTACAACCGAAGAAGCATCAACAATGTTAGCGTAATAATTATACAAAATTTGTAAATGTTTGTGCAGATCNAAAGGCGACTAGGGAATGCAGCAACAAAACTATAGCCTTATACGTTTTGAACTTTTTAGTGGGAATGTAACTTACTCTGCATAAGAGACCCACGACTTCTGTTTTTTCCCAAACCAGAGCTCTGAGCGAAAGAAGTGAGCATTATTTTTCAGCTTATGGGGAAAACGAAGAAAAACACGTTCAGGTTCTGCTTTGATAGCGAATTTCTTGCATTTTTGTCTGTGTGGAAGTTAGCTGCTCAACAATATAAGCATTGCTATCAGCCTAAAAGAATAAGGCATATGCACTAGTTCTCTTGTCTTTGGAGATGGGGAAATTTTCGCTCGCTGGCCAAGGAAAAAAGGATATATTTGAGGCTGCTTGATTATACGTTTTCTATAAATTTGTTGAAGATTGCAGTTGTCTTTAAATGCTATTTGGTGAAGATTGCTTCAAACGATTGAAAATTTTAAAAAAACATACATAAAATACTATTACAATGTTTTAAACATTAGACAACAACGAAGTTGTTATTAAAATTCAAAAAAATTAATCTTTTAGTAATAAAATATAGAACCTGTAAATCTTAAAAAATGATTGTGAAAAAAATGTTCATTTAAGTAATTTAACACATCAAAGGGAAAGAGAAATTAAAAAAAATGTTCACTTCCAATCACCAAGAACATAATTCAACGAGACGTCCATTTTTAAATGCTATTTGGTGCCAATTTGATTTAGTACATAGTTATAATTGAAAAAAAACGTATAATCAAGCAGCCTCCTAGCTATACAGAAAAGGGAAAAGACGTAGAGTAGGACGGTAGCTACTCTGTTGCTGGGATCGGGGCGGGTTTGAATTTAAAAAATGGGGCGGGTCAGTTGGTCTAATAAGGGGATGCCACGTGGATTTTAAAAGGTGGGAGGGTATTTTTAACGTGTAAGGGATAAATATGAACCTAATGTATAACGGTAGGGATATTTTTGATAGAAAACTTAAACGAGTGATAAATAAGGCCTATTTATGATAGTAGAGGGACAAATCAGACCCTTAACCGTTTTATTATTATAGTCTGTTTCAAAAAGATTATATCTTTCAATATTTCTTTAATATGGTGTATTTATAGCCACACAAATGTTATGGCAATTTAAAGATCACATATTTCAAAAAATATTTCTTCTCTATCAAAGTTTGTCCCGAGTCAAATTAGAAAAATCCTTTTGAAATAAAAAAGTGCTTTTTCTTAACCTTATATCAAATTAACTACGGCAAACAAAGTAAATACTCCACTCAACAAGGGAATATCACATATATACTGTCACGAGTGTGACTTCCCCTTTAATGTGGGAGGATTTAAACACATGCCTATTCACATGGCCAGAACTATTCTTTGTCAGTTTGATCCAAAAAATTGAGTAGCAGTCATTAGCAATTGGGACCGCATCCACGTGTGGACATTATCATTCCTGTCCAGACTCAAACTAGTCGAACTACTTCTCAACTCTTGTGCATGTGAAAGAGATTTTTGTTTCAAAGATATAGTCAAGCCCTCATAAGTACTGGCCACCCTTGGCCTTGCTCCGGGAAGGGGAGTTTTGGATCAACCGTAAAAATGTATTTGTATGATTTATAGATCATGAGTTCGTGTCGTGAAATTAGTCACTGAGGGTAGCCTGTCTATATCATATCCCATTGGGATGTGTTCTTTCTCCGAACTCTACGTGAACGCGAGATACTTTGTGCACTAGGCTGCCCTTTTATTTAACGTATCTGCTTTTGGGACTCGAATAATTTGAATTCTTCTTTTGAGATAAAATAATCTCTATCAAAAGTGATTTCATATCAAAAACTCAAACTTGAGATATCTAATTAAGGATGGTACAATTTATGGGTTCAAGTCGTGGAATAAGCTATTGATACTTGCATCAGGGTAGGCCGCCTACATCACATTCCATTGGGATGCGGCCCTTCCCCGAACTCTGCGTAAACGCGGAATGCTTCGTGTATCAGACTACCCTTTTATGTCACGTATCTGCTTTGGGACCCGAATAATTTGCATTCACTACTAGAAAGTTACATTTTTAAGATAAAACATTCTTTATCGGAGAAAACTTCGTACTAAGGACTCAAACTCGAGACTTCTGATTAAGGATTCTGTTGATGGAGGAGGGCTCTCACCTCCCCATCACCCTAGCACATACTTGACCTCCCTGGTTCTTCTTTAATTCCCTTTTTCACAAATCACAATGTCATAAGTTCGAATCAGACACTGTAGTAAAATTGAACCTTTCCTCTAGCTTAACGATGTGAAGAAAAGTAATTTAAAAGGAGGTTAAGTTCTATTTGCTGACCATCAGGAGCAGATCTATAGTATTAGTTACGAGTTCATATGAAAATAATTTTTGCTCAAATTATATATTTGTATTAGAAAATTTACTAAATGTATAATTATATATTTAGCTCGGAACTTACTCAGTTGATCCGATTATTATTGTATATTAGCTTGAGATCGTTGTAGGCACCCACAAACTTCAAATCATGGGTCCGCTTACGCTGATAGTGTATAGATATTTAACAATATCAAGTAACTTAAAATATAGCTACAATAAATTAAAGCGAATTACCTGCAGCTACAATAGATTAAAATATATTAATAATGTAAAATCTCCGATATAAGTTAAATTGAATTCAATAGAGACACCATGCTTAATACCAAACAGAACAAAGCTACCAAGACAGAAAGTTCCCACATCATTCATTACACTTCATTTTATGTTTTCATATAAGCAATAACACATTGAATATATATAATATTGGTCCTCCCTCAGTTAAAACCAGAGAAAGACAACCCAAACAAAAAAAAAATTACGTTTACACCCAAAAAAAAAGGAATAAAAAAAACACAAAGGGCTCACTCTCCTTTGGAGAGGGCTACTATTAACAACCCTTACAAGCAGCCTACAAAATATTAAGAGAAAAAGAAAGTTACATCAACAATAAAAGACCACAATAAAAGGGTTTAAAAAAAAGGAATAAGCCTCGGATACTAATTATTATACTGATCCAAAGGCTAAATTTTCCTTTAAAAAAAACCAATCGACAAAGCGAGCTACTTCAGCAGATGTTATTTTTATAATCATGGTGCTTGAATCAGCTTGCGCACACTTCAATATGCGTTATTGTTACGGGTTTTTTAGTATTTTAATTAGTTCTTCTGAATTTTGTGCTACTTAGAGAAATTAAGTCGAGAAGTATAAGTGGCTTTAGGAGACCATTTGCTTGGAATAACATCTCTTGCTGAGAGAGTTCTTCTTTTTGACAATGTTGTTAACTTCACTGAAAATGGTCCTTGCAATGGTCCACCAATAATACACCAATTTGCTCCCCATAGGTGTGTCATCTTTAACCATTGTTTGGACCTTGCCTGTAAATCAACGACTTATTAGTTAAGGGATTTTTGCACAAATAACTTACTTTTTCTAGTCAGTATACATAATTATAAATAATTATTATAAATATATTATACATGAATAATATATCTATTGGTTATTTTTAATTTAAGTGGTTGAGTGATCAGCTATTCAAATTAATTCTTCATTAATTAATTAAATAGACTTCAACACATACTCCCATTGCGCCAGTTTAATCTGTCACTTACGCCAATCAAATTTGGTCCAAAATATTTGGCACTTTTAAAAATCAAGAATGCACTAATTTTTTCTTCGATTTAGGCATATAGTCATCACTTATTCATTTTTTAAAAAAAAAGACTAATTTAGTCAAATACCGAAAAATTATACTAGAGGATTTTTTTTTTTAGTAAATGCACCGAATCTGCGTTAGGGTTCAAGTCGTGGAAGCGATCACTAATATTTACACTAGGTTATAGGGTGTCTACATCACACCCTTTGGGTGCAGGCCTTTCCCAAATCCTGCTTGAGTGCGGAATACTTTGTGCACCGGGCTGCACACTAAGTCTTGCAATTATTCTTCTCTCTAGTGCAAGAAAAGCCACTATATCCTTAATAGGAAAAATGAGGAAACAAGAGATGTTGCACTATATGGTTGGTTGGAAAGGTTTAAGTCACTTTCCTATATGTTGAACTTGTGCACTAGTGTGGATTGTAGGAAAAAAGAGATAAAAGCATGTGGAGAAAGTGCTATGACAAACAAGCCAAGATGGCCAAACTTGGCATACCAAAAAGAAGATATTATATTCTATAAACAATGTTGTGGTGTATAGCAGAGATAGTGTCAAAGTTTGGCCAAATGAATCTTTCATATGAACACTTGAAAAAGATTAACATTGTGGCTCACCACGTGGTTACAATAATTTTCTAATATATCCCAATTTTTGTCTACATCAAAATGTGTTTGATTTCATGTAAATTGTAATGAGTCTTCTAAGGCATTACTAACATAACTAGGATCATTTTTTATATACTTGAATGTGCAGAGGGTCCCTACCTAATAAAATTTTTTACATTGTTCACAATTGCGGAATCAGAATTTTTACTAAAGGGTTCGGTCAAAATATAAAAAAGTGAATCTACAAAGAAGTCAATATACATAAAAAATAATTTTTTACCTAGCTATACAGTGTAATTTTCTAGAGAAGGGGTATTAATTGAAACTTCTTAAATGCATATGACTACGCCACTGATTGTCCATACACGAAAGTTAAACTCTATTCCCTTTTACTATATTCTAGAAAAATTCGAGTTAATAAATTGATAATGTAAATATTATCGGTGTAATTTAATCGTTATAATATGTTACTTATCATTTATTATAGGTTGTAAATGAATACCCTATTAATAAATAGACTACATGGGATTACCTTTCAAGTTGCATGGTTGTGTATATATTTCGTATCCTTTAAACTCTTTATAGAAAGCTTCTTTTAAGTTTTGACTAAGTGCAAAATTAGTTGAATAAATAGTATGGTGTTAACATATGTACCTCTCTAATATGCATGGATCCAATATCACCATCTCCATCCTCAAACTCTACCAAAAGAGAGAGCCAATAAGCTGTTGAGCCTGCATTGACATGAAAGGCAATGTTCTTTCCAGGATACACGCACGGAGTCCTATATCACAAATTTAAAAGTCTTAGTAACGAGCATATAATCGACTGTTTCAAATATATAAATATAACGTTCTTTTTTAAATGAACTAATAAAAAAATAATACCTACTTTTTAATGCCCCTAAAAGGAAAGGTAGTTACAGTAATCACAAAAGAGTGAAATAAATTTGGTCAAACAAAAAGTGGGTCAGTAGTCAGACTCTATTTTATGCAAACCGACGAAGAAATTAGTGAAGCTTTTGACCAGAAAATGATAAAAAAAAAATCATGGAGGCGTGCACCAGAAAAACATAATTCACCAGCTTACAAAATTATGACATGGTATCTCCTCCTTTTTCTCTTTGCTTACTACTCCCTCCGGTCCATATTAATTGTTCTGATTACTAAATATATTGATCCAAAATGATTGTTACTTTTAAAAAAGTATTATTCCCTCCGTTCACTTTTACTTGGCATGTATACTAAAAATAAATTTTCATTTTACTTGTTGCTTTACGGAGAAGACAAATTTTTTTTTTCCTGTCATACCTACAACATTTATTTCTCATTTCAAATTATTTTCTCAAATCCAATAAAATATGTATAAATTAATATGGGTATCATGGTAAATTATGGACATCATTTATTATTTCTTAAGGGACGTGAAAAGTCAAAACGTGTCAAGTAAAAGTGAACGGAGGGAGTAATTAGTTACCTTTTTTCCATTTTACCCTTAGTATTAAATATTCTTGAAAGTAAAAAAATTGACTTCATAGCATAAGAATCTTAGAAGAGAAGAGTATTAATAAGGGTATAGTAGTCAAAAGCTTTTTTATTAATAATTTCTTAAGTAACGTGTAGAAGAGAAACATGACAATTAAAATGGACAATAGAATATGTGCAATTAATGAACCACTATCCAATCAAGTACATTTATACATGTATATATGATTTTATTTCATTTTATACCACACTCTTTCATTCTTTATTATTTAAAAAATAACATATTTTTATACTTAATGATAAAAAAAATATCATGTAATATGTTTTAGACCAACAGTTTAAAGTATTTTTGAGTGTTTCAAAAGTATTTCTTTTTAAAAAAGCTTTGTTTGTAGAGTCTCTTTCAGTTCAGGTCCTGAATCATTTGATTTGGAAATTTTTTTATGTTCAATTAAATACGGTCATTAAAACAAAATAAAGTAGTAATAATAAATGTTTTGAAAATTAATAAAAGAGTGAAATTAGTATAACTCCATATATCACAGTCACTGAACTCAGTGTTGTCCTTGTCACCGAAAATAGTACTCCTATAACAGTAAACTATTTTCTCAAAAACTTTTAAACTAAAATACTTTGTTCATTAATTAATTAATCAACCACTAAGCACAAACTGACAAAACTGAAATATAACAGACTTGTATTATTATACTCAAGAAAAACTCCATTTACTGCTCTTATGAAACTTACCGGCGGTAAATGATGGAGATTTTACCACGGTTGCGCAGATTGCCGCTATTTCCTTTAACAGCCATACGACCAAAGGCCGAGCCACTAAGGTCAAAGTGAACTCGGCCTTTGGTCAATGCTGGAGATTCATCTGTAATAATAACTGTCGCGGCTCTTTTACTGCAGATAGATTTGTCCAAGCATTTTACCTTGTAACACGCACCACAACCTTCGCCATTCTTGAATAAAATCGAACTCACGGCCCCTACTCTTGCCCTGAATGGCTTCACGTCCACCATTGACCCGTACCCACATGCCCCACCTGCACCAAAATTCCATCATTAATTAGTAGTGACAACGTAACTATTATGTTGTCTCAATTTCAAACTAATTGGGGTCGGTATATGAATCTTCGATATCTATGTGGTTCACTTAATGTTGGCTTGTTTGTCTAGTTGTAATGCATGTCTAGGTATAAACGAATTCAGAATCTAAATTTGATAGGTTTAAGTTATAAGTTCTAGTCGTTGAAACTATTGCACTCTTGAGTTCAAAATTAAGTATTTATTAAAATTTTAGTAGTTTTTGTACATAATTTATACATTTCCTGTCAAAAGTGTTGGTTCAGTTGAGCTTAATGAACTAGACCTATGTGCCTCTACGTCTATAAAAGCGTGTCATATTGTAATTAATATTAAAAAACAAAAAGTGAGTGCGAATATTAGGACTAGAAAATTTACCGGTACTACCATCACCGTTGGGACTGCCGTACCAAGTGGCTGAGGCAATGTGCCAATGTGGGTCTTTAACACGTTGTAGACTGCCGGCGGAAGCAATGCCGACGGTGAAAAAAACCATAACCACCGCCACGACACAACCAAAACTGGCAAAATGACATCTTGGGCAATTACTAGAATCCATAATGTAAGTGAAATGTACGCACCACTTGAAACAGAGACGAAGCTAAAATTTGTAGCTTACAAGTTCGGGTTTCTAGCTTGAACCCTCTATTGCCTATAATCCTCAGTTTCTCTGCGGAGAAACCGAGAGAGAAAGGAAGAAGGAAGAAGGTGAACTGTGTTTACCGACAATATTTTCTTAGACTTAAGTCTATTTTTATAAGGTAAGAAATTAAAGAATTAATGGAACTTTTTAGGTCCATGTGACCCTATTGATATTATTTTATTCACGATAGTGCCACTACTTTATAGAGGGGGCCAGCGACAGTTAAGGCGTTAAAACCGCAAAATAGTAGCGTTTAGTATTGTTATAACTGTTAGTGCTTAGGGGCATATTGGTAAATAGAAAAGAATGGAGTATTCTACCGTTATTCTTGTTCTTCTTTTTCTAATAATATCGTTATTCTTGTTTGTTAAAGTTTTCATTCTGTCCCGTATTTATTTTGGATTCCGACTAATTCATATTCATGTCCAAAAATTCGCCTTTGGAGGTAAAGAGCTCTCTACCAAAGAGCATTTCATCCCAAGTACTCAAACTCGAAATCTTTAGTTAAGAATAGAGGTATACTTATCATTTTAGCACAACTTTTGGCAATTATTACCAGGAGCAGAGCTAAAAGCTTGGATGCGATTCGGCTAAACCCAATAGTTTAAGCTCAAATAATATATTTATCTTACAAAATTTATTAAATAAGTACAACTATTAAATTTAGAATCAAATTATTCACACTTTTGTCGTACTAAAATTCGAAACCCATTAAGTCATTATTCTTGTTTGTTTGTTTGTTGGGTTTTGGGCGGATTTGGGGGTTTTCCCCAAGTGCATTATTTTCCATTCCATTCTTTGGTTTCATTCAATAAATAAAGAAGAAAAATGACGAAAGATACAAAGAAGGGATAGAAGATATTTTTTAATATTTGGAGCGAATGATTTTTTTTTCTTCCTTTTAATGAGCGAAAAAATTAGAGAAAATTAACAAGTATAACTTTATCTTATAAGACTTTAAAAAAGATGAAATATTTTCTTCCATTTCTCTCTTATTTTTTTAAATGTAAAGTGCAAGAAGAAATTGAAAAAAGACATAGAAACGTACATCCACGAACACATTATTTGGATAATCTTCTCAGTCCCTTGAGGGACCATTTAAACCAAAATATAATTGTGAAACAGATTCGTTTGGGGTAAGTTTTTTCCGTAAATAGTGTCTCGTACCCGTATACGGTTAAAACCGGGCCCACCCGATTTTACTGATTAACCGAGACCAGGGGATGGATCGAGGATCATCCCCATAGTGTATCAGACCGAGACATGAGGATAAGGTACCGAGTTCGGGATTCGAGATACCTGTCAAGATCGAGACCAGTAATGATCGAGGTCAAACGGAATAGACATCGAGCAAGACCGAAGATAGCATAATAACAGAAAGGCGAGATATCCGTGACTGGTCGAAGATCATGGCGGAAATCTCGGAACAGATCAAATCAAGGGCGGTTGTTTAGCTAATCATGGGATTTCCTTCTGTAATTAGAATTATACCGTAAATAGGATTCCTCTACTATATAAAGAGGGTCTGAACCTTTTGTAATCATCTTACATTCACGCATATCAAAGCAATATATCACATTTTCATCTCTTGCAAGCTCTGTTGTCCAGTTCATACTTTCAATAGTTTGTTCAGTTGGTCCGAGGGTAATCAGCTCGAGGGCCATAATTGTTCATCATATTGGTTTGCTTTATTTTACTATAACTTCTGTCATTAATCCTTATATTTATTATTTTTTGCCAAGTGAAATCACATATCCTTAAAACCACTTATAAGTTTAATTGTTATCCATTTTTAAGGGTAAACTGTTTGGCGCCAACCGCGGGACTAAGGATAATAGTGATTGCCTAGTACCATTTTCGTAACACACATAATTTTATGCTTGTTCTTTGAATTGTCTTTGATTCCAGGATCAACATGTCAAACTCTCAGGTAGCACCCACACACACAAACGATGGCCTTAGTCTCCATGTCGAGAATGATAACATAACCGCCCCAGGGAACAGAGTACCTCCAGCCAACCCCGATGGAGCTCCGGCCGTGGATCCAATCGACGAAAGTTCCCATATTGCCATTAATGGAAATTTGGGTGTCGATCCTGAAAATAGCGTCTGAAGGGATGCTCGAACAGCCGATCAGAACACACAGGCGGGTGAAGAAGGTGGGATTAGCCTTCGAATGATATTCGAAATGTTGCAGACCCAGCAAGCCACGATAGCACAACGCTAAAATCATAACTGTGCACCGAGCAGGATCGAGCTCGATCCATCACAAGAAATTGTTCATAGAGCTGAATCGGTGGCAAAGAGATCGAATGGAGGATAATCGGATACCAAACCTGCTATCGTAAAAATGCTCGAGGATTTGACAAAGCGAATCGAGACAGGGGAAAAGAAGATCGAGGAAAATGATAAGAAAGTGGAAACTTATAACTCTAGGGTCGATCAAATTCCGGGGGCACCACCGGTACTGAAGGGACTTGATTCCAAAAAGTTTGTCCAAAAGCCTTCCCCCCCCCCCCCCCACCCGAGTGCGGCTCCGGAGCCAATCCCAAAGAAGTTCCGTATGCCCGAGATTCCGAAGTATAACGGGACGACGGATCCAAATGAACACGTCACCTCATATACATGCGCCATCAGGGGAAATGACTTGGAAGATGACGAGATTGAATCCGTGTTAATGAAGAAATTCGGAGACTCTATCGAAGGGTGCTATGATATGGTACCATAACTTACCACCTAACTTTATTGATTCATTTGCTATACTTGCATATGCTTTCTTAAAGGCACACGCCGGAGCCATTAAGGTCGCTACCAGAAAGTCGGACCTCTTCAAGGTAAGACAGAAAGACAATTAAATGCCTAGGGAATTTGTATCTCAATTCCAAATTGAGCGAATGAATTTTCCACCGGTCATCGACGATTGGGCTGTTCAAGCTTTTACTCAAGGTCTCAACGCTCGAAGTTCCGTAGCCTCATAGCAATTGAAATAGAATTTGATCAAATATCCAGCTGTCACTTGGGCCGATGTACATAATTGATATCAATCAAAGATCAGGGTTGAGGATGATCAACTGGGGGCTCCGATCGGTTCGATTTATCCCAACAGGCCCATGGACAGACTTATAAGGGACGTTGACCGGGAACCACGATTGAACGGAGACCGATATCAGCCATACGATGGAGATCGGAGAAATAACGGGCCTGGGCACAACCCCGTTCGGAATGATAAGAGGAATGATAGGGGACAGAGATCTCGAGCTCATGAGCAAAAGTGGTTTCGATAGGGATGTCGGGACCAAAAAAGCACCTCGATTGTCAGAATATAACTTCAACGTCGATGCTTCTGCCATAGTATCAGCCATTGAACGTATCAAAGATACCAGGTGGCCTCGACCTATGCTGACCGATCCGGCCTAGAGAAATCTAAACCAAATATGCAAGTACCATGGTACCCATGGCCATAAAACAGAAGATTGCAGGCAGCTAAAGGAGGAAGTAGCCTGATTTTTCAACGAGGGCCATCTTCGAGAAGTCTTACGTAAGCGGGCCAAGAACCACTTTAAAAACAGAGATTCAAACAGGCAGACCGGGCAAGAGAAGCCGCAGCACATAATTCACATGATCGTTGGAGGGGTCGACGTTCCCCAAGGACCGGTGTTTAAGTGCACCAAGGTGACGATCATAAGGGAAAAGCGAACACGGGACTACAAGGATGCGGAAGGAATCGAACAACCTCATAACGACACACTGGTAATATATGTCCTTATGAATAAAATTCAAGTTAAACGTGTTTTGGTTGATCCAGGTAGCTCGGCCAACATTATTCGGTCGAGGGTCGTAGAACAGCTCGGCCTACAAGATCAACTTGTGCCCGCAGCTCGAGTACTTAACGGTTTCAACATGGCAAGCGAAACCACCAAAGGTGAGATTGTTTTGCTAGTAAACATGGCCGGGATCGTCCAAGAAACAAAGTTCCATGTAATCGAGGGCGACATGAGATATAACGCTCTGCTTGGAAGGCCCTGGATCTATAACATGAGGGCGGTACCCTCGACCCTTCATCAAGTTCTGAAGTTCCCGACATCTGAAGGAGTCAAGACAGTGTACGGGGAACAGCATGCCGCCAAGGAGATGTTTGCAATTGACGAAGTAATACCGGTTTCAGCACTTTCTTCAGCAAAGGGATCAAGCTCGAAGGAAAAGCAAGAGGCTAAATAGCAACCACAGACACCGGCCTCAACCCAACCGGAGAAGCGGGAGACCGATGAGGACGACGACTATGGGATACCTTGATCTTTCGTAGTTCTCGATGACTCCGATCCCACCAAATCAACGGTCGAAGAGCTGGAACAAATCACATTGACTGAACATCAGCCAGAGCGAAAGGTATACCTGGGCACGGGGCCAACCTCCGAGCTCAGGGAAAAACTTATTCATTTCCTTACAGCTAACATGAATTGCTTTGCTTGGTCCCATCTCGACATGACAGGGATCCCACCAGAGATCACTACCCACAGACTGAGCTTGGACCCAAAGTTCTACCAAGTAAAGCAAAAGAGAAGGCCCCAGTCTGAGGTTAAGCATGCATTCATCAAGGACGAGGTAACCAAACTTCTCAAAATAGGGTCCATTCGGGAAGTAAAATATCCCGAATGGTTAGAAAACGTAGTGGTGGTACCTAAGAAGCGAAATAAACTTAGAATGTGCGTAGACTATAAGGACTTGAACAAGGCCTGCCCTAAGGATTCTTTTCCTTTTTCGAATATCGATCGCATGATCGATGTCACGGCCGGACACGAGATTCTCAGTTTTCTCGATGCCTACTCCGGGTATAATCAAATACAGATAAACCCGGAGGATCAGGAAAAGACTTTGCTTATCACTAAATACGACACCTATTGTTTTAACGTGATGTCATTCAGACTAAAAAATGTTGGTACAACTTATCAATGCCTAGTAAATCGAATGTTTGAATAACAAATAGGAAAATCAATGGAAGTTTATATTGATGACATGTTAGTTAAGTCCCTGCGAGCAGGGGACCATTTGAAACATTTGCAAGAGACTTTCGACATACTAAAAAAGTACAACATGAAGC